CTCATAGGTGGATATAATGAACTCAACTGGAAATCAATTAAGATCAAAAGCCATGACAGTCATGGAAAGTATAGCATGGGAGCATTATCATCATTGTTATTGTTATTGACGTCAGTAGCATCTGGTGGCTTTCGCTGGTGCTCAACTGACATCAGATCTGTTCAGTACTCAGCGTTCTAACCGATTTTGGTCATTCTGTCGTCTAAATAGATTTAATTCTTTGACGAATTTCTATTTCTTCCAAATATTTTATAAGACTCTTTGACGCTGTTCAAGCTACTCTAATAATGATGGGTAGAACAAACATTGTTTTCTTTTTCTTTTTTTTCAATATCTGACAGATCTTTTCTTTGTCCACAGTGACTGGGTTCGATTTGCTGATTGATCTAAAAATCAGAACGCATCTTACTTTTATTATTCTCGATGAAAGCTTCATTTTGTGCTTAAATCAGTTTGCACAGTTCCCAGTGGAACAGTGGTTTTACCCAGTCATTTGTAATTATAAAGCGTAAAAAATTTTAAGAAAATGATTTTTCTTACAAACAAAATCAATGAGGGCACTTCCGGATGAGCTAACTGTTAATAAAAAAGTGTAATAGACCATTACTACTGAGTAGTGAGTTCGATCTTAACTGGATACACCATGTCTGTAGTCTTCTGCCATAGCTTAGTAAATGAGAATACCAAATCAACGAATTGCCAATATTTAAAATTCTTGACCAGAAACCTTCATGGAATTGAAATCAGGCAAATTTTCTGACTATCTTTCAACGTATGCACGGCTCTTACAGTGCAAACTATTTCAAACTGGTCGACAGCTTTTTTTATTAAGAGGAAAGATGCTTTAAAATTTAACTTTCTGGTGTTAACAACAAAATATCATATAAGAGAACAAGTCTGGTGGCTGAAATAGTTGACAGTTTTCTACTAATACAATTCCAAATTTGTCACTGTGTCTGTTTTTCTACCAATTTGTACCACTTACTAACTCAAAGACACAATTTCATCTTTTACACGACAAAAAATCATTAGCTGTGTTTTTTTTTTCAATTATTATTAAGAAATCGACGGACCAACAACGCTTCTTTATCAACGATTTAGTCATCTTAAAATATGTAAATGTTGTTGTCTGTGTGCATAGCTCGCACTGAAGACGCCAAGACAATCCGAGAAGATCATGTGCACGATTGTGAACCCCGTTAAGTCCCATAAAAAGTCGTGAAACAAAACTTTCAGTTGCCAAAAAAACAAAAAACAAAACAAAAAAAAAACAAATAAATAAATAAATAGAATAAAATGTCGGTTTTACTATGAGACACCTTTCAAATGTTTTTTTTTTATTCGTAAGGGCTCGCAAATCTCGCTTACTAAGCACTAACACTGCAGTCATGTGCTTTCTTTAGCTAATCGCAGATTTTATGAAAGTTATTTAAATTGTCATTATTGTATTACTATTCTGCAATCCTCACATCCCCTGTGACACTTATTTTTCACTTTCTTTTATATATTTCTATTCTTTTTATCAGCTTGTCTTTATTTATTCACTTTCTGTATATTTCCCTTCCTTTCCCGCCCTTCTCTTTCTCCCCCACCACCATTATTATTGTTATAGCCATTGTTGTTGTTTGATTCTAACGCCATTTCTCATAAACCGACTCCCGACACTCTAATTAGCATCCCCCCGATTTTTCTGTTCCATCCCAAGGGCAAGTGACTCCACCACTGAAGAGGAGATATAATCCTTGGTTGGTTGTGAGGAGGGCGTGCAAGGGTCTTTTAAACAAACTCTAATAAAAGCTAAATCTCTGTTCTTTTAGACAATCACATTTGTCATGTGAGAGAATGCAGAGCATGACAGTTGTGACAATGTCCAAACAATTTTTTTTCAATCCCTTAACAGCGCTAAGGACCTTTTTAATACTTTGTCGATGAAGTCGTATTTTTCTGAAGCGCCGTGTAGAAAACAGAACGTCACGTGTCAGACACGTGTCTTTTGTCGTTGGGAAATTAGCGTTGGTCGACGTTATTGGAAGGAGGCAGGGAATCTACTGACCTCATAGAAGAATCGAAAACTTGTTCTAGCAAATAATATAAAACGAGTATTTCTCATTTAACTAGCCGCATTAGTAGACAGATTTCTGATATACATCGGATATCTGGATCTTTCTTTTTATGCGCCATGTCTTTTCAGGACGTAGACGATCATATCACTCCACCTCCCTCTATCCCTTGCAGTTCTAAATAAGTTCCTTCCCCTTGCTACCGTCATCCACTTGCTTAAGCCAGCTTCTCTTGTCTTTCTTTCCCTCTATTCGACCCGTGAGTATCAGATTCTCCAGGCCTTCCTTCCTCATTACGTGTCCCAGAAACTTCAGCTGCCTCTTCCTAGTGTTAAGTATAAGCCTCCTGCTTTTTTGCATCCTCTCAGAAAGTCAGATGTCACTTAACAGTTCAGTATTCTTTTCTTTGTTACCAAAGAAATGATCCTATCTCGTAATACTCTGTCCAGCTTTTGGAATGCGGCCTTGGCCATCCCAATACGTCTACGGATCTCTGTCGCACTTACCGTCCTCTGTCAAAACGCTTTCCAGATATTTAAACTTCCGCGTCTGCTTGATACAGTTTTTAAACTACTGACAAGCTTTAACCTGGCTCCGTTCATTGTATTGTGTAATAATAGGTATTAACTACTTTCGGTAAGGATTAGGATGTATGTTGGAATGCCTCGTTGTTAGCAGAAGGAATTGTCTAACATACAAATTACAGACTGGAAATATCGTAATCAAAGAGGTTACAGCCATCGTTTATATTTCTGAGATCAGGTATTAACTATTTACACTATCTACATTGTTATAACTGTTGTCCTGATCTTTCTCATCCCAGTGAATAAAAGCGTTGGTTGAAGTAATTCAGTGATTTGACCCAAAGAGTTGTGAGTTCAGTACCTGGTTACAGCAGAGGTGAACAAAAAGTTGAGTTACTAAAGGGAATTAACTCAAACTGAGATATCCAGAACAGGCATGACACAAAGAACTAGAACAATCTACTCCGTGGACTAAATAAAGGGTTCGGTTCTGAATTCCAACGTATATCACCCTGAAGATGGTACAAGAGCCGAAACGTCGTGAATATGATAAAACACATGAGGACAACATTCCGAACCGTGTAAATAGTGCAAATAAGTACAACCAGTTAGATATCTGTGAAGCGTATTAACAGAGGACGAATAGTGCGACACTGAAATCCGAAGGTGCATTGGGATAGCGAAAGATGCCCTCCAAAAGCTAAGCAAAGTATTAAGAAATAGAAAATATCATTAGAAATCCCCAAACATATTACTGAATTTTTATGTAATATCAATCCTATTAGGTGACAGGGAATGCTGGACAATTTTCTCACAGATGAAGAAGCGGTTTTAAAGCAACAGGAAGGTGGCTCTACAGAAGGGTGCTGAGAATACCATGGGCCTAACACATGAGTAACAACGAAGACAATGGCAACAAAATGTGCAAATACCTAACATCCAGAAGAGAAAGTTGATATTTCTGGGACACATAATGAGGAAGGAGGGCTTGGAAAATTTGATACTCACAGGACAGACTGAAGTTTAAGAGGGCCAGAGGAAAGCAATACATAACCTACCTGGTGAGCATGAATGAATAAATGGCGAAGCGGAGTTTGGGAGAGATGGCAAAAAGACAAGGGCGACATGAGACAGGAAATTGTGGCGAGCCATAATCGCCAATGTCCTCAAGGTACACGGCACGTATGATTTTGTTTTTGACTGGGTGCTCCCTGATTTCGACCTTGTGTCACATCTAAGCTATACTTAGTAAACCTACCTAACGATCTTGCGTCAAGAGTGAGAAGAACAGAGCAGAGATTAAAGATATCAAAACGATAATTAAAGAGAACCATGATCTCCCTTATCCTAAAGGGACATAAGACTCAAATTCGATGAAATCATTAGTAACTTTACTACTGACATTAGTGTGGTTTCAGCAATTAAAAAGTTTTACTGTATTCAATTCTACCAATTCTACTCGTTTAGTTACATTGAAATGGCTTTTTTTCTTTTGGTGTTTATTAGACACAAGCATATTTTTTTTTTTTAAATGACACTCTGATCAAAGGAGAAAACAATTCACTGAAGAAATGTTTTGACCGCAAGGTCATCCACAGCCTGCACCATTACTGGCAGATCTTTTGTTATCACAGTTGGGATATCTAATAAAAAAAGAGATGGAAACTAAAAGAAAAAAAGAATCAAAATGAAATCGACTAGATTATATATATTTTAAAAAAATCCCGGCATCCCTCGTTCGTGCGCATGTGTAGTCGCACCAACATAAAAAATTAGTCCGCTGAATTCTTTAGACGAAACCTGTAACACGAAAACATTTTTCCTCTTTGTCGTATATATTCCCCCCAATAATGTTGTTGATATATAAAAATTTATATATCGTTATCTCATAACCATTTAAGCAACTTAAGGACTAATTCTTAAGCAAAAATTCAGTAACTTGAATGCAGGCCCAAATTCTAAGTTATTTATAAAAAGAAATCGTGTAGGTTTCTACTCATAGTGTATCCGCTCATTGCAAGTGACTCACACTTGTGGTCTTGTTCTGAGAGTTTTGAAAATATTTTTCGACAAAATCGAGATAAATGAATTGTATAGGCTGCTGCTCTTTCCTTTTGGTTCTTAACGCAAGGCGATTACTTGTTAACAAATTTGCCACACCATAAAATCTGCCATGCGTAATTCTTTCACGCTTTGAAAAAATAGTGAACAGCACTTTTAGTTTGGGTTTAAATTATCAGTAAAAGCAATTAATAAAGTTAAAAGACTCCTTCTTTCTTTATTTTTTTGTAAAATCGATTTTTTTCTATCGGATTTCTGATTAATTTAGCTGCTAGTCATAAAGTGATTAAGCATTTTTGTTCTTCGTAATTTTTTTTTTTTTGTTTTTCGGGTGAGATTTTTCGTAACATTTTACCAAATTTGGCGGAGAAAGAGAAACAGTAAAGAAAGAGTTTGGTGTATGAGAGTAGAAAGAAGAGTAAGGAAATTAGGTAAATGTGAAGAGAGAAAAAGAAGTAAGGAAAGAGATGAAATTTGACGGAGAAAGAATGAAAACGAAAGAAATGGTGAAAGAGTAAAAAAGAAAAAGGAAGCGTACAAAACAGACTGGAAAAGATGAAAGGAAGAAAAGGGAAGAGTGAGGAGGGAGAAGAAAGTTTAGAGAAAGAAAAGATAAAGGAATGGAGCAAAAGTAGATTGGAAGATAAAAGAAAAAATAAATAAAGAGATAATGGGAGGAGAAAGAGATATTAATGTAACGGGTGTTGAGGTGTGTGTTGTGATTACCTCGTTAATATATATATTTGTAGTAGTAGTTGATAGAGGAATCCTTTTTACTTTTTTATACTGAAAATGAAATGAATAAAAACGTACATCGATAACAATAAGACTTGAGGCACGTGTTGACATTAATAACAATAATGTGTTTTTTTTTTTCTTTTTCGTGATGTGAATTACAGATATTGGTATGATTAAAATGTTCTCAGTATTAATGTCTCTTGTTTCTTTAAAAGTTTGTGATTACTTGTTTTTGCCTGTTCCGAGAATTTCGTTGTTAAAGATAGCCTTTGAGATCGTCAACTTACGATTTACCGGATCGATGGTGATACGTGTTCCTTTTTACTACTGCTACTTGCTACTCTACTCTAGTCTACTGCTGTTCTGCTGATCCTACTGTCTTAACTGTCATCGGTTTTTGTGGAAGGTCACTTTTATAATCAGACTTTAGAATGTTGAAATATCTTTCTCATATGTCATCACTTGAGTCAAGGTTGTTTTTAGAATGATGAAACTTTTATTTTTATTTCAGGGATGATGAAATATCCTTATTTTCTATTATTACTGATGTCAAGGTTGCTTTTAGAATAATGAAATATCATTCTGGATCATAACAGTGGATAGACTGTCGTATATACTGGGGTTGTTAAGATCTACGGTACGAATCTTCTATTCGTCACATAACTCCTATACAGCACTATATTGTTATGATAGTTCTATTTTATTCTTAGTTACTAGCAGCATGACCCGGCGTTGCCCGTGCTTGATTCAAAAATCGTACGACTCATACAGCAATCGCTATCACTTGACTTTAAATATTTTTGCCCTCCCTTGCCTTTAAAGGAGTGCCCTTTTCCGTGCTGATGTTGCTACATGCCTTACTTCTTGCCTATCTCACACTGCGAATTTTTTCTAAGCTCTATACTAAACATTAAATCTGTTACGAAAAAAGAACTAACCAAAATGAACACAAAACGATTAGCTTTAAAAAAGGACTCGTAACTGGAAAAACCGAATGAAAAAAGAATGTTAACAACAAATACTTTTTCACACGCAACCCAGTTCTGCGGAATCAGAATCAACGTTGAGTTTAAGCAAGCGAATGAGCCAATTGGAGTAAAGTGCCATGCAGATTTAAATTTTCCCACTTGTGACGAATGCAGCTATCGATTTTTTTTTTTGCATGCTAGCATGCTAGTTAACATTCGTGTCAGTCAGCTGTTGGCTCTCACGCTGGCCAATAGAATCTTCCTGCCTATTCGTGGCAACCAGCTATTGGTTCTCACTCTGGCCAGTAGAAAATGGCCACAAACTACATGAAAACTGCCGTAGAAGCATGAAAAAAATCGATTATTTTCACTAACGATGGGAGTTGGGAAATGCAAAGTCAGTCTTGGCCTTACCGCTAACTTGAGGCATGTGCATGTAAATTTTGGTGCAATTCCGTCGAAAATTGCGTCTGTGCATTCGTTACACACACATACACACACACAAATCCTGCCTTTTATAGATAGAGATTATTGTTAATCACTTATTATACCCAATAAGATCTACAGTAAGGACGAATCTTCTATTCGTTAAATAACTTTTATAAGAGTTTTTGTTATAATTATTCTATTTTATTATTAGATACTATTGCAAATCTCATGACTAATTTATAAATCATTGATATAAATGTATACGAAAATCATACTCGCTGCTCTGTCGCCATTTCCATGAAAAGTGCTCAGACGAACTACATTCATTTGTTACACTAGTTCTAATCTTCACATCTAGGTCCCACCATGCCATTTACATTATATCAAACCAGCCACATTCCCCCTGTATTCCATCGGTGAGAACAAAATTCCACTCGAACAGCTTCTTTCTATGAACTGCTGCTTTATGGAACCGACACCAAAGTGGATACTTTCCCGACCACTACAATCTTAACCTGTTCAAGTCTAGAGTTAACTGTCATCTTCCACATAACGTAACCTCGAATGGTCCCGGGACTTGTACAGGGCGAACATCATTGTAAAAAAATAGGATTCGGTGCTGGAGACCATGGATTGGGGAACATGGCTTGGAAGACTGAACACTCCTGCACAATTCCTGATATTCACTT